ACTGGACACCCACATAGTCGACCGCGGTTCGCGTCCCGGACCCGGTGGCTTAAAACTCACGCCGGGCGCGTGTGCGTGCATGCCCAAGATCCCAAGAGGAGAATGGAGGAGAAGGGATTGCGGTGTGACCATTCCCCCTGGGGGGGTGATTTCTCGCTTTCTGTCTCTATGTCTCTCTCTGTCTGTCTGGCGAGCACATGCGCCCTATAGTGAAAAACCTCTAAAAAAAAAAGGTTGACTAGACCAGTAGGTGTTGTAGTGGTTAAGATGCCTGATCCCACTTGGTTGACTAGGAAGTTTGTGTCTTGGACCGGGTGATGCGCACTGGCCACATGTGCATGTGTGTCCAAAATCCTGAGAGGAGAATGGAAGAGAAGAGATTGTGGCATAGCTACTCCCTCCCCCACCAGCCAGGGGTGCATGTGTGAGTGTGTGTCTGGTGATTTCTCACTTTCCCTTTCTTTCTGTTTCTCTTCAGCAAGCACATGCACTTTATGGTAAAAAAAAAAAAAAATACAAATCCCAAAAAACAAAGTTGAATCAACTTTCTGTTCTATCATCCATTATGACATTTAATTAATTAATTAATTAATTAATTATATTCAATCATTGTGCATAATTACAACACACCAAATGAATTTTCCCATCATGAATACACTGCATATTGGTTCAGTCAAAATTAGTGCAGCCACTGTGGAGAACAATATGGAGGTTCCTTAAAGATCTACAAAAGAATCATCTGCCAACAAGTGTTTTTTGCATCTTATTCTCTTCCTCTTTTCTCTAATTATGCTGGGATAAATCTTCTATTATATAAGGCTATGCTGTCTTTCTCTAGACCCCATGTGGCCACTTTCCTTGCTTTGCCAAGTACCACCTGTCCTCAGGCCACCGTACTTGCTGTTCCCTTTGCCAAGAACACTCTTGTGTGTCTTGGCAAGTTCACAAGGTGAACTCATTTTTTACTCTTTTTTGATAGTATTTTTCTAGTTTTCTTTCTCTTTGCTTATATTTTTTAACCTTACTTTTTTACTCTAAGTTTCACTCTACACACACTTAATGTCTAATTAGGCTTAGGTGCACAGTAGCCAAGCATCTGAATACTTTTAGAGTCATTGAAATCCTCAACGCTTATTGAATCTCCTTCTTTAATGAAGAAATTTCTTTTTATAAGTCTGAACTCCTAATTTACTGTTGATACCACATTGCTAAGTAGTGTGGAGGAGAGATTTTTGTCACAGAATGACCAGAAATAACTGTAGAGGCACAAGAAACATGAGAAACCAAGAAAATATCTCTACCCTAAGAGAAAAGAACAATTCCTCATTATCCACAGACAGTACAGGAGAATTCATGGAAATGTCTGATAGAGGCTTCAGAATATTTTTAGTGACAAAACGAAACAAGATCCAAGAGCCGAGAGATAATGAACTCCAGAAGATGCAGGAGAAAAGAGACGAGTTCCAGGAGGTGTTGAAATTCTTTCATGATCTGAAAGAGGAAATACACACCATAAAAAAGAATCAAATGAGAATCAAATTGAGCTATTAGAAATGAAGACTGCCATTCAGGAAATCAAAATCTCCCTTGAAAGTATTAAAAACAGATTAGTCCATGCAGAAAATCGAATCTCAGATGTTGAAGGCAAACCATCTGATCTAGTAAAAACAACCAAAAAACTGAGAAAATAACCCCCAAGAATGAGAATACTATATGAGAAATACTAGACAGCATCAAGTGCCCAAACATCCAATAATCGATATCCCAGAAGGTGAGGAAACTAGTAAGGGCATTGATAATCTAGTCCATGAAATCTTGGAAGAAAATTCTCCAAATCTAAAGAGGCATTCAAATATCCAGACCTAAGAAATACAAAGGACCCCTAATAGAATCAACCCAAGAAGATCTTCTAGATCTTCTCCAAGGCACATCATAGCCAGACTGGTCAAATCTACAGAAAAAGACGAGATACTAAAATTGGCAAGAGAGAAATGTCAGGTTACTTATAAAGGTTATCTCATCAGGGTAACATCAGACCTTTCACCAGAAACAATGTGAGCAAGGAAAGAATGGGAATATATATTCCAAGTGTTAAGTGAAAAACAGTTTTAGCCAAGAATACTATACCCAGCGATTATCTTTCATATGGAAAGAAAGGATAAAAACATTCTCAGATAAACAAGATCTGAAAGA